GAAGGGATGCCCTTTTAAGAGGTAGAAATACAGCAGTAAAAAAAGAAGCAGAATCTGCAGACATTGGAATCTGAATCTAAGAGATTAGAGATTAGGGTTCTTTGTTTACCCAGCAGTGAGGTTGCCAAAGCCAAGTCAAATTCCTGCTTTTCAAGGAAGCCTCTTGCAGTCCATGTTGACTTTTTCATCTTAGGAAATTCAGTATTAGCAATCTTTATCAAAAGATTCTTGTAGTAGGGAACAACTGCTGTAATGAATGCTATAAAAATAGTGTAAGACCTTTGTAGCTAACTTCAGCTTGACTCACCTGAATCTCCATAGGTGCTTCTGCCACATGTCCCAGGAGCAATGCCCAGAGCCTAGACACTCCTCCCTCTGCACTTGCTCATCTGTTTCTATGAATTAACTTAGTACTTTCCAAGTGGTGCTCATTCTCTTAAGATACCTATTCCTGTTGTAATAATTAATCATTATTAACTAAATATCTTGTAAGTCATTGAAATAATAACCTAGCAACAGTTGTTAGGAAAACCAGGTATAATATCCTAGGAAGAATTATTGAGTTGCTAAAAAAAAAATGCTGCCAGATTTGGAGTACAGTAGCTATAGCCATGTGCTATTTAACAACAGGGATGCATGCTGAGAATTTAATCTTAAGGCAATCTCATTGTCAGGCAAGCATCATGGAGTCTACCTGTGCAAACCCTAGACAGTGTGGGTGAATTATGCAGCATGACAATCAAGGCACTTGAAAACAGGAGCTGTATGGGAACTGCTGCCAGAATCATACAACATGCTGCTCTATAAGTAAAAAAATTTTTTAACGATTACTAATTTATTTGAAAAGCAGGGTTATAGAGAGAGAGAGGAAGAAACAGAGAGAGATCTTACATCCCCTAGTTGGCTGCAACAGCTAGGGCAGGGGCAGATGGAAGCCAGAAACCAGAAGCTTCTTTTCGGTCTTCCACGTGGGTGCAAAGTCCCAAGTACTTGGACTAGCCTCTATTGCTTTCCCAGATGCATCAGCAGAGAGCTAGATTGGATGTGGAACAGCTAGGACTCAAACTCAAACCAGCACCCACATGGAGCCACAACAATGGCTCCAGTAAACTTTTTGTAAATAGAAGGAACACAGTCTAAAATTACAATAAAACCTGTAACCTAAGCCAATAATTAAGTCATGTATTATTGTTTGTGACTATTATTTATTACACCTGCATGCACATGAGATACTTTTATGTGACCGACATTGCATAGGGTTACATAAGGCAGCATCGCCACAGACACTTGAGCAGTGCATTATACTACAACATTAAGACAGGCTACAGGCATGTCTCAGTTACAATATAATCTTGTGACGCCACCATCACATATGTAGCCTGTCAGTAAACAAAACATCATTGTGCAGTATCAAACTTGAAACAGAAGGAATCATTGCATTTTGGTCTTTCCTACTGAAACAATCTTTGGAATGTTGCTCATGGTTGAGGATTCTAAAACAAAATATGCACAAACAGCAGACTCCTTTGCAAAGTCGATTTTTTTTACATCTATCACACATTTATACTTTTAGATTTTGAGTTAGAATTATAAGAATTTATTTTTCTGTGTCTGAGTCCCCTCATGAATCTGACGTTTTGAATGGTAGCAGATATTTGTATTTCAGTCTCGTCATGTATTTAGGTTTCTTGTGTTTCTTGAATCGTCTTCCAAACCAGTCATCTAGTTTTAGCTTTGCAGTGGAAGCACAGATCCTTGCTGGTAACAGTCACAGTGTGCTTTTGAGACTCTTACTGAATCATCATGTCTTTTTTTATGGGTATTGCATACACTTGGGTTTTGTAAAGTATATTTATTTGGAAGGGAGGGAGAGGGAAGGAGGGAGAAATGGAGAGAGAGAGAGAGAAACATCCTCCATCCTTTGATTCACTTCCCGAATTAATGCTGAGCCAGCCTGGAACTCTGTCTGTGGCTCCTGTAAGTATGATAGGGACTTAAGGACCTGAGCCTTCATCTCTACCCCTCAGGGTGCACATTTGCATAAATGCTGCATCAGAAAAAGTTAGCCCAGACATCTTAGAAGCATTTGCTTTTAAGAGATTGACTTGTGGATTTGAAAATAGAGCAGGGAATAGAGGAAAAATGGAGAAAGGGAAGGAAAGTGAGAGATCTTCTAATTTGCCTTCTGAGTGCCTGTAGCAGTTGGGGCTGGGCTAGGCTGAAGCAAGGAGCCCAGAACACCCAAAGAATTTTAATTTGCAAGTATGGAAAATCACAATATCAAATAGTGAAAGGTGTGATTGCTTGTAATCACCGTGACGAAGGAAAACAAAATGTAGTCCAGCTTTTCCTATACTTCTTTAAATCATTGAGATTAGCTCACGATGCAGAGATTTCCCCTTTCCTATAGGTTCAGCTTAGGAATAAAGTATCCCTGTTTCCTAGTTCCACTGATGTGATTTCATCATGTATTTATACCGTTCGCCTGTTAAAGGAAATTTGATCAATGTTTTCCAGTGCTTCTTTTTTCATGCCCATTTCCCATTTGCCTTCTAGATCATTTCTTGGTGAGCTTTCGTCCTTGACGTTGACTAAATATCAGCTGTAGTTCATATTTAAAACGTTGAGCTAGAGCCAATGAAGGCACCAATTTATATTAGCCTGCTAAGAAAAGTTAAATAAAATGTAAAATTGAAATGAAAATTGCTTCGAAGAAAAATGGGGGCTAATACTGAAAGAGCCCATTAAAAAGGCTGATATTCATTCCCTTGCTGAGCTCACAGTTGTATCCTTTTGTACAACTGCCAGATTCTGAAAGGAAATCCAAAGAAAAAAATTAAAAATAATTCTTTCCTAGAGCAATCATTTATTGAGTGCCCCTTCTGGATCAGGCACTGAGAATATAAAGCTGAGAAGACTCATTCCCTATGCAGGCAAACTCACTGCCTCATGCAATGGTTGTCAGCCTTGAACGTGATTGTCTGAAACCATTTTGAAGGCGTTGAGGGCTCACTCCTAAAGACACATGTTTGTATAGAGTATTACTACTGGAAACTTTTCCTCTAGAAATAATCAGAACATTCAAAATTAATTCTTTTAGAGCAACAATCTCCATTTATAAATAAAACAATAAGTGACTTACCATATGTTTTAGTAGATATTTGTTATATACCTGTACCATTTACCCTTGATAAAGAAGGTGACTGAGATTTATCTTATCTACTGACCTTGTATATATTGTTTCTTAATATTTAATTACTATGTAACTAATTTGCTGAACTAATACTTATTTAGTCTTCCTGGGTTTTCTTGTTTGTTTATTTGTTTTTTCGTTTGGTTTGGTTTTCTTGGATTTCTATTTATTTCTTTGACAGAATGAATAGGAGGGGAAGATATCTGCCTGTTCACTCCTCCAAAGGCCATACAGTAGAGGCTGGGCTAGGCTGAAGCCAGGAAGCCTAGAACTCCATGTGCGTCTCCCACAAGGGTGGCAAAGGTCTAGGCACTTGGACTCTCTTCTGCTTCCCCAGGTGCATTAGCAATAAGCTAGAAGTAGAACAGCCAGAACTCAAACCGTTGTGCATATGGCATGCCTATTGTCAGCCTAACCCAAGATTAGCCACCTGTCTTTCTATATAATATTCAGTATAGTATGAGAAACACCTTAATTATGTGAGTGCCTTCTGTCTTTGAATTTTCTATAACTGTCTTAGGGGTTCTCTTTCTTTCTGTTATGTACTTTAAAAGCAAAGTTACAGAGAAAGAGAAGTCTTCCATCGCATTGCTCTGTCCCCAAATGGCTGCAAAGGCCAGAGCTGGATCAATCCAAAGCTAGGAACCAGGAGCTAGGAGCTTCTTCTGGATAACCTATCTGGACATAGAGGCCCAAGGACCTTAGCCAGCCTCTGCTGCTTTCCCAGGCACATTAGCAGGGAGATAAATTCAAGGTAGAGCAGCTGGGAGTTTAACCATTGCTCATGCGGGATACCAGTGCCTCAGTGTTGCTGCCTGCTGTATCACAGCACCAGCTGCATAGGACTTACTTCTTAAAAAACTTTTTTTTTAAGATTTGTTTATTTTTATTGGAAAGTCAGATGTACAGAAAGGAGGAAAGACAGAGACGATCTGTCCAGTAATTTGCTCCCCAAATGGCCACAGTGGCTGTAGCTGAACTGATCCAAAGCCAGGAGCCCAAAACCTCTTCTGGGTCTCCCACACAGATGCAGCATCCCAAGGATTTGGGCCATCCTTGACTGCTTTCCCAGGCCACAAGCAGGAGCTGGGTGGGAAACAAGACTGCTGGGATTGGAACTGGCACCCATATGGGATCCCAGTGCGTGCAAAGCAAGGAAGGACTTTAGCCACTAGCCTAAAAACTTTTTAAAAGGTTGAGAACAGTTACTCTTAATTTGATACCTAATCTGATTTTAGTAGATTCTGGGGTTCTCTCTTCTGACCCATCTACATAAGCACTTGCTACATAAACACACCATTAGTCATTGGGTTTGGAGGAAAATAAAATCATAAATTATAGTGAGGTTCTTGGTCTGGTGTCTGAAAACAGAAAAAGAGGTTATCCAATTTTCCACTATTAATTTTAAGTTGTTTTGAATGGTAAGACAATAAGACCAACTCAACAAAGCTAGAAGCTTTTATTTTACAGGTAATACTTAGACTTAATATTTGGATTACCATTCAACAACCTAAGTGCCTTTTTCAATCAGATATGAAGAAATAGCAATCATGATATTATTTAGGCAAATAATGGACTTTCTGAACTCGAATGTTTGACATTCAATGGAGCCCGTGTCTTTTAGCTGTCCATTAAATTTGATTCTGAGGTGTGTGTGTGTGTGTGTGTGTGTGTGTGTGTGTGTGTGTGTTTCTCAATACCTTACAAGTAAGCAGCTACTTAACAGAGAGCTAAATATTTTGTAAACCTAGACTTTTCTGTCATGGTCATTTAGAGAATTATTCATTTGAATCTGTTCTGATTTAAGGGTTTCTCCTCTTCAAAAATCGGAAGTCGTGGACATGGTTAAAAAACAAGTCAAAGTCATAACACTTGCCATTGGTGATGGAGCAAATGACGTCAGCATGATACAGACAGCTCACGTTGGTGTGGGGATAAGTGGCAATGAAGGCCTGCAGGCAGCTAATTCTTCTGACTACTCTATTGCACAGGTAAAGTGTTGATGTCTGCCAAGAGGCACCATCCCTCCCAGTCAGCTAACGTGGAGGAGAAAAGCACTAACTTTTCCCCCTCTTCTTTTAGTTCAAGTATTTGAAAAATTTATTGATGGTTCATGGTGCCTGGAACTATAACCGAGTCTCCAAATGCATTTTGTATTGCTTCTACAAGAACATCGTCCTCTATATAATTGAGGTAATAGAAGGTTAAATGTGAAATCCTTGCTATTTGCCAATGTGTGTATCTCAAGAAGTTTTCTTTCTGAAGACATTTTCTTGGTGTTTTAATTAATGCTTAATGTTACATATATCCAGTTAGCATTTTATGACTTGCTACTATATCAAAGAAAAAGTTTATGGGCCATGGAGAATAATGAATGTTTAAAGTATGGCTCGAACTGTTATGTTGCTTTGGTTAAGATACATTGAATTAGAATTTCTCATGAAATAATGTGTTCGGTTTTTGAAAGAGTGAAAACTATACTGCATGTTTATGAAGCTCAAAATCTTACAAAGAATGTAATATGTTACTGAGGGCTAATAAAAACTCAGAAACTGTATTTGAGAAGAGAAGTAAAGAGAGTAATAAATGCCAACCTGGGGGTTGCACTTCTAGCTCTAGGAGGAAGTGAAGGTGTGGGTCTAAAAGGAAACACACGTGGAGATTTTGGGACGGGAAATCTGCTCATTCTCCTGTGTGTCCAAGCACAGCGCTTGGTTGCGTAACAAGTGACCCATGCTGTATGGGGCTGTTTCTGTGTTTTTAGTTTGGTTAATATTATGAGTTCAGATGAGACTGGTGTGTAATAATTTTAGAATACTCAATCCCTGCTCCTGGAGAGCAAAGGGTTTCTATCACCCTTTTTGTGGATCAAATACAGTGTACATTGCTTAGCAGAAATATCTGAGAGATTTGGTGTTACGTTATTCCATCATAGTGCAAACATCATAAAGTGCAACATTTACATAATCTGAGTTGGCTGTAATGTCACTGGGTGATAGAATATTTGGGACCATCGTCATATGTGATACATCATTGATGGCACATGACAACATAGCATCGTTTTAGAAATGAAAACCTGGGTCAGGGATACCACTTCTGAAAGCACCGCAGCACCTACAGGCACCAGGCTTGGTCCAGCAACTGCAGAGGAAATCCAGTGCAGTTCCTACCTTAAAGGAGCTTGCCATCAGAAATACAATGCAAGACACACAGATCTTGCAGATCTTCCAGAAACCACAGAAGTTAGCAGAATGCAAAAAGGAAAGCCCAAATTGATTTTAATTTGAGGTTTTATGTACCACAATATATTTAAAATACAATTTTCACATATAATCAGTATAAAAAATATTGGTGACATATTTTTACATTGATTTGGTACAAAGTGCTCAGAATCTGGTATGTATTTTATATCTTAGTACATTCCCATTTGCACAAATCAGATTTCAAGTGTTCAAGGCTACCATACAGCCCATGGCTACCATACAGGACACCCCAGCACTGGTGGCTGGATACATGAAATAAATGGTGAGACAGGATGTGAAAAATAGTTACTTACCTTTCATTCTATATTTGTTTACCGTGAGAAACTCTGTTTGACGTAGTGGGGTTCTGGGGTTATCAGTTTTCTGTTTCTGTAGCCCCTCTGCAAAGCACAGCAGTGGGTTTTGCATGACTTGTCCACCCTCACTGCCCTTCGGGACTCACCTGTGTCCTCATAAAGCTGAGGATGCCACATGCCAATGTTTGTCTGTACTTTGTCCTCTCTTTCTGTCCGAAAATACAACACATAGCTAGGTGCTATATAAAATAATTGCTCATACTAGATACCAACAAGCTAACAATTTGAGCAACCAAATAAAATACAACCAAATAAAATTCAAAATTGCATCTACCTTTGCTGATGCATTAGCTGTAGACTGTTGTGTGTTTGAGTCAGTAATTTCTTGTGCCTTTTATCCCCTTGTTAAAATGAGTAAGCACAGCTCTCATGATAAATCAGGTTAGTAAACACAAGCTTTATTTTGAAGTGTTATAAGTTTTCACGTATTGATCATTTAAAATGTATAATGAAAATACAACTTCTTAGGGAATATAACCAAATATTAGGAACCTGCACAAATTATCCATGGACATGAATATTATTCATTACTGCAAAATTTAGTATGGAATGGTCATGTTTGAAGGAAAATCTGCTTTCAAGGTTATTTTTAAGCTCCAAAAACTATGCTTCATTTTAGATGTCAACCTTGAGTCTTTCCTAGGAAGTTTTCTTCTATCTCCACTTTTTTTGGTATACCTATTTTTCTTTTTTTAATCTTTTTTATTTATTATTATTATTATCATTTTATGATACAACTAAAGAGGCACCTGGGATTTCTCTTATCCCCTCCCTAATTCCACCCCCCGCCTAGTTCCCCTTTGTAATTACTACAGTATAGTTCTTCGTACACAGTCATATGTCCATCATAGTGGGCCTGGACAATGGCAGAGAGTCCAGCATCCTATTGTCAAGATATAGTAAGTTGTTTCATTTTAAGTCCATCTTTGTCTGAAAATAGAAATGCATACTACATTGTATCCTCACATCTGGATGTTAGTCTCCATTTCACAGTTACTGTACATCCCCTTAAATGAAAAGGCACCATACAAAATCAACATAGAAAGAAAAATAGAAATTTATAATGCCATGAGGTTAAATGACATGTTACTAGATATGACAGTCTCCATTACACAGCTACTATACATCCCCTTAAATGAAAATCCACAAAACAAAATCAACATCTGGGAGAAAAAATAAATTAACAACACCATGAAGTTAAATAACATGCTACTAAATAACTAACTCATAGGAGACCTCTCACAGGAAACTCTACAGGCAAGAAGAGAATGGAGTGACATATTCCAGATTCTAAAAGAAAAAAATTGTCGGCTAGGATAACATATCCAGCAAAGCTTTCTGGATGGACAGTTCTTTGTCTGGTTCAACTCCCAAGGTCCCAGTGAAAGTCCCTTCCCACCTGGTTGCTGGTGCAGTTTTGGCTGCTGCTGGAGTTCAGATCGACATTAACTGAATGCCACAGGAGTATCAGTCAATGCAACACCACACCATTGTTTTCACTGCTTTCCTGTGTCTGTCAGTCTCCAGGTACCCCTCTTCTGTTGTTCTGTCCTCTCCTATTTCCTGGAATGTGTCCTCTCTGTTTCATCCTGATTAAATGTCTCTCCGTTCATTTAAACATGTCCTTACCCTATTCTGCCATCTTGATTCTCTCCGGTATACCTGTTTTTCTAATGACATGTTCTTCTCATCCCAAATCACTGTCATTCAAAGAAATGTTAACTCACACCATTTAATTGCATGAACATTTTAAGATACTAGGAGTTTAAAGCCACTGTCAATAATAAATCTTTTAAAAGTATAATTATATAAAATGAAATAATAGTGAACTTGCTACTTTTAAAACCTAGATTAATAGGCAATAGACAATAAAGTGGGTAAAATTTATGTACCAATGAGTAAAATAAAATATATTAAACTCAAAGCTAAACCTGCTCATTCTGTTCCAGGTCCAGAGTTATGTGATTTATGGTCATTTGGCTGTGAGCTTCAAGCCACTGCAAGAGATAGTTAACACTGATCCAGTCCTTTATATATCTTAAGTAGGAAGTGAGTCTTAAACATTCCTGTAAATCTCATTTTAATTTTCTTTTAGCACTCTATGGAAATGTATTTGTAATATAATTCAACTGTCTTGGAAACAAATTGACCTTTTAAATCAGTTCCCAGATACCAGACTTATGCCCGCCTAAACAGGTTCTGCAGATGTTAATGGCTCATGCCAATACTGTGAATGAATAGACAGAAAGCACATCATTGAATCTCTAGTGAGGACAACTGCCAGTCTCCAATCTCGCCTTTCAGACCAGGCGTGGGAGCAGAGGACTCTTGGACTATTTGTAAGCTGCTGTTTAATATGCAGAAATGCTCCATCAGGAAAATGTCTGTGAGGCTTTAGCTGCCACGCCTCTACTGGGAGAGGGAATGTAGGAAATACTCCTGACAGAAGCAGGTCTGAGGTTTCTTTACTGCTAAAGGACCCGTCCTGGACACTCTGGGTTTATAGATGATCTCTACAACAACCTACTTTCCCATCATTGTGTTGCCAGGCATGTTGCTGTTTCGCTATTTCACTGCTATAAATTACAGCCAACCAAATTCGTGCAAATCTGGCAGGGAGGGGGGGGTGTGTTAAGCTTTTACTTTATACTGCCTTAGCACCAGACCTAGGTGTGCATTTTAAATTTTTGGCTCTTTGAAAAGAGACTTTTTTCCTTCTGAAATGGCTGACTCCTTCCTTGCAAGGAAGGCTTTTTCTTTCAAATTATCAGTCACACCCAGTTTTCATGGCAAGCTCCTACAACAATGTTGTGTTTTTAATTTCTGTAAGTTTTGAGTAAAGTCAGTAAGGTGATGCCTTCCCAGCAAGAATTACTGAGGGGGAAAAAAAAGTCTCATTTCAAAGAATTTAAATAGTCTAGACACTCCCAGAGGATCTGACACTTTCTTTATGCATCGTTGGCTTTGGTTGAGCTTTCAGGAGGGAATCCGATGTGTTTATGGTAATATAGGTGTTGTCTTATTTAACTGTGTTCGTAATATATCATCTTACTACAAATGTCAGACAGCCCCTATCAGCCTCTGCCAGGCGACTCCACTGGTCAGGACTTTCCCTTCCTCCTTTAAAATATACAAACTAGAATGCCAAAATATTTCCATGAATATGCAGAGTATTATATTGAAAGTCCCTATTTTTATCTGGTCACGTCTTCCTCTTTTTACAAAATGTAACATACTAGAATGTTAACATTTTTAAATGCATGAAATAAATTCCTACAAACATGCTTACCTACCTTTCAGCATGAAAAATAAAATAGCAAAGAAACGTAATTTTCTTCTTAAATTTTTGCCATCAGACATTTAATTTATGACTGTAATCTTTGAACTTAGCTAAGTTGTCTTTTTGTGCTTTTTTATTGAAATCTTCTATAATTATTATTTTGTTTTAGGAGGGTTTTCAATTTGAAACTATTATAGACTTTGAATCAGCACCAGATAGTACACACAAGGAAACAGAGAGGGTTCACATTTTAAAATGTTTGTACACACAGATTCGTTAACAACACAAGCTTTTACAGTATCGACAGTTGCAAATATATCTAGAACCGTAATCATTGAGCCAAATCATGTCCATTAGGTACATGTGATACCGAAGAGCCCCCACTGTCTTCAGGAAAGAGCAGACAGTGTTTTTGAGAGGCCATAATTAAAACTTTGCATTTATAATCCCCTTGTGTGTCTACTACACCCTTAGAAACCTGAAAGAGCTTCTTACAATATTGCACTGCAGTGAATCACAGTTGCCTTCAGGGAGAATGGTACCATCACCCAGGGTTTCACAAACAGGTGTTCATGCAGTCCACATCTCCAAAAGGTCAGACTCAAAAACAGAAGAGAGTGCTGCAGCCTGTTTTTATCAACTTGTGTTACAAGAGAGAAAGACTAAGCTGAACTTGCATACAAATACTAAGTTCTCATAGTTTGGCTTCACAGAAGACTTGGTTCCTTATATAGGCAAATGTTCATTTTTTTCTGTGAATATGTGTAGCAAAGCAAGTAAGAATTTCAGATTGGACTAAGATTCCTGTGCTTGGCTGCTGTTGTTGCTCCCCTGTGGTACAGCCCTCTCGCCACAGGCAGACGCATATTTTTCATGTACTTTTGCTACCTTGTTTGCTCTTGGATCTCATGAAGCATACATTTGTTTTTATATACACTCAATCATCCTTTTGCAGTACCCATGGGGAGAGGATCGGTGTGAATCCACCGACTGTTCACTGAGAGGCCAGCCTGGGCACATATTGATAAATGGTAAATTTGTAGCAGCGCGTGCTTCTATAATGAGATTAAATGAAACACAAAGTGTGCACATAGTTTGCAGCTGCAATGCTGTGATGGTGAATTTGCTGGACCTTGTCAGGATTGCTCTCCTGGTTCTTTGTTTTGTTGATTGGTTTGGATTTTTGTTGTAGTTGTGGTTATAATATCTTTTTGTGTTTGTTTATGTAACCAGACTTCTTCCGAGTCAGCTTGATCTCTGGTATAATTAAGATCAGTTTTTGAAAAACATTATGTGTATACCATTGATTTACTGATAACCGTTTTTAACATATTGAAGAAAAACTTCTGTATGCTGCTCCCTAATTTTGTTTCCAGAGTTGAGGTTGCTAATTTAAAGTGAGTTGGAAATCATACATGAACATTATGCACTAGATGCTAAAGATTTGATTTTTATTAAAATGAAATCTGAGTTAGTAATTTATAAATTCAAATTGAAAATCTTGATAGCAGTAATGATCAAGAACTTTAAGAATTTCATGTAATTTCATATCTTCAACTTAAGGATAAAAAAGATGTATAGAGTTTCAGTTCAGAATTATTTAAAATAACAAAAGCTAGATGTAGGCTAAATGTCCAAAATAATAATATCTGTACCATAAACTACATCCTTTAACGTCATTTTCAAGCACATAGCACGTAAGAAATGCATGTTACATAACTGTAAGGAGAGTTGGGTAAGAAGAGACACTGTGAACAGCAGGTTTTCCAGAAAGTAAATTTGCAAATTATTTAACAGAACTGAATGTAAGCAACTAACAAGGAAGAAAACAATGATTATATTATTGCAGAAAATTATTTCCCAAATAAAATGTTACCATTGTAACTTGAAAATGTCTTTCAACTGTGCCTTAATAAATATTTTAATGGAGAATTAAAGCTAAAAATTTAATGACATATAAATACAGCAGGTCTTCAAAAACTTCATGGAATTGCATATGAATAAAAACATTACGTGAAAGTCAAAAGTTTGTGCTGCCCCCAAGGAGACTTATCTTTTAATTACATTTTCCCAGGAACATTTTAAAGTGTCCTCCTATATTATCTCCAGCGACTTTTAGAATCAAACTTATACTTATTTTTTAAAATCCATGATTACCTGTTCTATCACTCTTTGCTATCCTAGAAACAAAGCATGTTGTGACATAAGCAATAGATCATCCTTTTAAACTAAAAAGAAAAGCAAAGAAATGGCATTTTCAACAGAATCTAGGAAAAAAGCTTACTTACTGCCACTGCTCTGTAATGTTTGCACAGAGAGATGCTGAGCGTTGCATTTCGGTTTTTGTGCGCTAATCTGGGGCTTTGGGGTTGTTTTCTCCCCAGATCTGGTTTGCCTTTGTTAATGGTTTCTCTGGACAGATCCTGTTTGAAAGATGGTGCATAGGTCTATATAATGTGGTAAGTTTCTGCTATTTAATAATTCCTGTTTTATCAAATATTTGGGATAAAGGTTCACCCCATGCCTGACTACTTGGCTTAATGTCTAATCTGTGCACTTCAGATGTTTACAGCAATGCCGCCCTTAACTCTTGGAATATTTGAGCGATCATGCAGAAAAGAGAATATGTTGAAGTACCCCGAGTTGTACAAGACATCTCAGAACGCCCTGGATTTCAACACCAAGGTAGGAGCAGGATCCCAGCATGTGTGCAGTTGGAACTGGAGCATCTGGTTTTCCAAGGGCAAGGAGATGCCAGCCTCAGCTAACTCCAAGATGCAAGCCATGGAAAATGATTTCTTGAGATCTCATAGGGATAGCAAAGGGTTTGGATGGTTGGCTTCCTTTGGCGTTTTTTATGCCATAGAATTCAGACATCACCACAATTCACAGAAGCTGGCAGGTAGCAGTATACTGATTGGGCACACAGAAGTCATGGGCCTTTTTGTCCTCTGGCTTCTGTCTTGGCCGTGTTGTAGGGAAAAGGTCACACCCCTGGCGGGGACCAGCTCTCCAGGACTGAGAGGAGCAGGCTTCACATATGTAAAGGTCTGGGTGCCATTGTAAAAGTCTTTACTCATTCTCAGCCTGTGAAATAACTTCATCCTCATTTGAATTTTAGATCCAGTGTGCCAGACACTAAAACTATAGTCTTTGAGAAGTAGTCCATTTAATCATAATGCTAAGGATTTCCAAACCATGAGGTTAAAAACATAAGATAAAATACTCAATATTTTATCTGAAATCACAGTCTGGCTTTACATTCTACAAAAGAAACTGTAGGCTGTGGTCACCTTTTGTAACCAAAGGATAAAAAAGACTCATTTTCTGCACAGTTTGCTAAAATATACAAGGGTACTACAAAATGTTCACATAAAATAGAGTTAAAAGATAACTTTACCTTGAACTTCAAAAATTTGCTGAACCCAAATAGATTTATCTTTAAATATCCATGTTTCCGTGCATTGTTTTAAGTGTTCTCATGTTGTCAAGTATTTGCATTGGTGTTCAGGTCTCTGCTTAGTGAGCATCCAGAAGGAAAAAATGCTTTTTGACAGTCAAGGTAGATACCATTTAGAAACAGTAAAAAATTTTGTGTTAGTATTTTAAAAACGGCAAATAATTTAGTGTACCTTCACAGTATTGCTCACATGTAAAAGAATCCCTTTTTATGAACATAATTCAGCACTTGAGTTTCAGATAGTTAATATGGGATATTTTAATGCATATTAATTCATAACCAGCAACACTTATTCTGTGTATGCCAGGAAAACAGGTGTCCTGCTGCCTCTAACCTTACACTGTAAATGGCCATGCTACATTTACGGCTCAGAAGGCTATTCTCAGATTTGATCTTTACCAATGTGTGTGTACACATGCGTATACTCACAAACAACCAGATGGCACTGTTTTTAAATAATCAGAGTTTGTTATGGAAAAGAACACACTGATTCTGAAAAATACCTCTATCTTGCCCAATGCCTGTAATTTTCTTTTTTAATGCTTTGCCCGTGGACTTTTAAAGTTTGTTTATGATATCCTGTTTGTAATGTCCTTTTGTTACTGATGGTGAACATTTTCAAATGATGTAAAGCCACAATCAAAGCACATTCAATGGACATGAGCTCTTATTTCCCTAAAAGGTAACCTGAGAGTTAGGAAAGTTGCATGCCTGCTGGTACACTCAAAGTAATGCTTACCAGTGCACACATTTGCCTCAGTCGCAGTCACAGGACCCCATCTGCCACAGCTCTGGGGTCCTGTGGTCCTAACCGCAGGCTGTGTCATCCCTTAGTCCTCATAGGATGACTCAAAGTCCCTCCTGCAAAGCTACATCCTTTCATGCTCTGTGCACATGGGAGCTTGAACAGGATTTTGTGGCCAGGAAAAAGGTGTAGATGTTGATAGTTTCACTCTGGGCACATCGTTCTTTGCCTCCTTTGTTGTCGCAGAAGTATTTCACTGTCGGTTCAGTCCAGGCTTTTATAAAACTCATAAGACCAACCCAAATAGGTTACACAGCTTCTATATCCGTTTGAATATGTATGCTTTGCATACGTAAGTTGCCAACCGTTTTGTCTGGGGTTTATGGATTTTTCTAATGATTTCAGTGAGAACTCTGTGATTAAATCCCATAAAGTGTTTTCAAATGCAGGGACAAATGACTACAAAATGCATAGTTGTGTACACAGCAGTTGCTGTGGGTCCCCAGTGGAGAAGCCTGGTGGCCTTGAATGAGGATCCTGCCATTTGTTATGGTAAAAAGGGTCGCAGGCTCTAAGGTCATGACCGGGGTTAAAGGATTAGCATGTGACAATAAGTATCGGTCAGGAAAATGGAAAAGTAGAACTAATTTTTCTTGCACCCACCTGTGCTTTCTGTCAAATAAAAACTTGTGGTAATGACACAGTGAGGAGAAGAGACAAAGGTTAATGAGTAACACAAGTTCAAATGTGTAATGTATTGGAGCGTAAATTGGATCATACAACCCAGTGTGGCTGGGTGAGCTAACAAAGGACATTGAGATCACAGTGGAAAATTTTGGGAGGCAGGCAACTTAATTTCTGTTGTTTGAACAGCTTAAAACTATTAATACATGCCAATTTGATTTAGCATCAGTGTTGTTTGCAGGAAACACTTTGAAATGACAAAACTGCAACTGTTCAGAAGGCCACAAGAATTCTAAGTAGTTTTTTTTCTATGACTTAATCTTTTACTTCCATGTTACAAAGAAAATACCGGTGATCCTCAGACATAAAAAGTAATAAGTATTCAATGATGTGATGGAATAGGAAACTTGATATTGAGCAGTGTTTAGAAAATTGTGAGCCTTTGCTGGGTTCCATCATGTTTATAGTGCTTTGGTGATTATACGATTGAAATGTTCTATTTATTTTTTATTATAAACTATGTATTTGTGTCTGTGTATGGAGAAAAGTGTGATTCTATATTGTTCTAAAGTTTGCAGTTACACTAAGTGTAACAAAAGAGACTTCCTCAAATTACCATCTTTTTAAAAGCCCACTCTTCTAGAATTGTGAAAATTGCCTCAGTTAAGGAATTTCTGGTTTGGTGGCAGAAATGTAAATGCTTGAAACTTGGCTTTTGAAAAGCAGGAAAGAAAATTGAAGTGAAGCTGAAAAAACATTTTGAGAAACATAAAAATAAATAAATGACCCATGAACGTCTAAGAGGCAGAAAGTGTCTGTCAGGTCTATGAATTCACAGTGGTGGCCTGACAGAAACACGTTTTGTGAATCTAGCTCATAGATAAAAAGAAGGGTCAGAGTTCACAGCACTAGTTTATCACAAATGGTTCTCATGGATTTTTGTTTTCCCTCAGGTTTTCTGGGTTCATTGTTTAAATGGCCTCTTCCACTCAGTTATTCTGTTTTGGTTTCCACTAAAAGCCCTTCAGTATGGTAAGTAGAAAGGATATGAACGCTAAGAGGTGACTGTCCTCTTTCTTTTTTTAGAAAAATAACTCATTGTCGATAAACGTTAAAAAGTACAGCAGTGTTTCATTTTATGGTATTTTCTTGAACCTAAAATACATGCATCCCGAAGCTGTACACACTTTAAAGATTTTTATTATTCCTTTGGGAGCCCAGTGATTTAATATATGCAAAGCCTTTCTTCTTTCCTTCTCGTGTTTTCTGAACTTCCCAAGAGTTACGTTTCAAGGCTCTTTCCTCCTTTCCTCTGTTGATGTATAGTTTGAAGACAATAAGTGCTAATATTTTATGTAGTCTGTTTATTATACCTAGGAGGCTTATATTAAGCACTTAATACTGGACCTAATCACACAGGTTAGCATTTTCCGGAGTACTGGGGCTGACTTTCTGGGTGAGATTTCTAATCTGTTTTTATGTTCATCTTCGAGGATAAACTTTATTTCTGTTCCCTCCAAGGGAGTTATTTTATGCTCTTCTCTTTGAGATAGGGTACCATGGTCTATTTCCCTGACACACGGAAATGATTCTGCAGCCACCTTCGAGAGCAGCTCCCCTCCAGGCTGGAGCGGATGCTGCCACTCTGTCCCAGAGCAGACCTGGCCTTGAGATCTTGGAGGAGACACTCCATCATTGAATGCCTCTGCTCCAAAATGGCTGTCGTGTACCATCCGAAAAGATGTCAGTGCGAAGGATGGGCCAAGCGAACTGTCTCCCCAGTTGGGTGCCCACAGAAAAGAGTGCTGGCTCACTCTAGGTAGCCAAAGGGAACCTTGTAAAATCTAAATCAAGCCAGATGCTGCTTTCCTCAGAACCCCATGAAGACTTGGCTCCTTTAGAACAAAACTCTCACCTCCATTCCCTCCTCAGTCCTCACCAGGGTTTTTCCCCCCCTGTGGTCTCCCTTCAGAAAGGCCCTCCCAGAGGTCACCGATCCAACAGAGCCCCCAACACCTGTCCCACCCAGCCTTGCACTCTGTCCCCTTGTCATCCCCTAGGTCCTCACGACACCTCTCTCTCAGGGTGAGCTCTGCCCCTGTCCTTCATGCTGTCTACAACCTCTTTTACAAACAGAGCCTCAGCAGGGCAGACTATTGGTGACTTTAGTTATATTTGTAGGGCTTGGAACAGTACCTCTTGTCCCATAGGTAGTCAATAAATTGTGTGTGAATTCACAAGAGAGCATGTGAATTACAGAGGACTGCAACTCACGCCCCAGCAGAGACATTAATCTCCTGTGTTTATTAAGCACTCAATAAATTACAACAGTAAATATTTCTCAGTCTTTAGGTCATGGGAATGATGAGAAAAATCTCAGTATTAAGAATACTGACCCAGTAATCCAGGAGAAATACAGTGAGCTTGTTTTTGAGATGCCATTTGTGTACCATAAAACACATCCTCTTGGAGTTTACAACACAAAAAAATTTAGTATATTCACAGACTTATGCAAATGCCACCACTGTCTAATATCAGAACGTTTTCAACACGCTGTAAAGATAACCTACCCCAGGGAACTCATGTGACCTAGCAAACCATTGGTTCGGTTGCCCACAATCCACAATCCCAGCTCCAGCCACAGACTCCAGCTTCCTGCTAATGCATACCCTCAGAGCCTGTAATAATGGCTCAGGTGGTTGGATTGCTGCCATGCAGCTTCAGCCTCCAGCCTGACACAAGGCTGCTGCAGGCATCTGAGAAGCCAGTCAGGGGATAGGAAGCACTGTGTGTGTGTGCATCACTGACTCAAGTAAATTAACAAATAAACTTCTATCTGGGGAAAAAAGTACCCGAGTACCCAAGTAACAGTCTCTATTTCTCTCTCACCCAAATCCAACACCACAGCAACCATTGACTTTTGTGTCTCCGTTGATTTTCCTATTCTTAATATATCATATAATGGAATTATATAGCAGGTGACCTTGCTTTGTCCTTGTTGCAGCATGAATCTGTCTTCCATTTATTTTCTTAGCTGAATGATATTCCTTTGTATACCTGTATTACATTTTTCTTATCTGTCCATCAGTTGGTAGTCATGTAGATTCATTCCACTTTGTGCAGCACAGGGACACTGAAGTCCAGGGTGCAATTCGAGATACCTGGGCCTAAGTCACATTCTCCAGTTAAAATTCATCTTTAAAATGTGAAGTTGGTATAGGCTTGGAAGGCATGACATATGCATTCTGTTAAACTGCTATTTCACCATTCTAAATATAGAAAATTAATAAATAAATAAGCCTACAAATAGCTCAAACCAGCAAGCCTCTAAAAAACTATGGCAACCACAGGCTTTGTTAGGAATTCCCAGGTATCACCACTTCCTGATAAGCAGATCCTTGTGTTTCATGGGAAGCTGCCCAAGGCATCCAATTTCACTGGAAACAGTGCTTGGAGCTGCTGTTCTAGGCATGCTGTAAGAACATGGCTGTAGATTATATAGCTATATATTCATTTATCTTCTCACTTCAGAACATTCTGTAGACCCCTAGAGCACCCACTTCTTTGTTATGACTCATGAGGTCATCACTGCATCATTTCAGGAATTCAGTAACATTGTTAAGACTATCTTTTGGCCCCGTGAGGTAGCCTAGTGGCTAAAGTCCTCACTTTGCCTGTACTGGGATCTCATGGGTGCCAGTTTGTATCCCGACTGCTCCACTTCCCATCCACCTCCCTGCTTGTGACCTGGGAAAGTGGTAGAGGATGGCACAGAACCTTGGGTCTTTTCACCTGTGTGGGAGAGCCTGAAGAAGCTCCTGGCTCCTGGCTTTGGATTGGTTCCGCTCTAGCTGTTGGTTCACTTGGGGAGTGAACCAGCAGGCAGAAGATAATTTTCTCTGTCTCTCCTTCTCTCAATAAATCTCATTGAAATAAAAATTAAAATTAAAATTTTAAAAACATTGTCTTTGTTCCTGCTGATGCAGAAGCAGCAGTGGGGGAGCTACTAGGAACTAAGCTGAAACACTGGTACCACTGTGCCGGTTGTCATTGTCTGTGTCACTGGTGCTCTCCCTTTTCCCTTAGAGATGTCCTTGAAGGAGCCATCAATGCAGTCCCTTCTGAAATCTTCAAACGTGATGTACACGCTCACAAGTCTCTGTGTGGCAAAAAGGGAAGTGTGCATGAAGCACTGTGCATGGTCTGGAGCAACAGGTGTCTCCCGTAACAGCATCCTGTGTGTTGGAGTTGGAGGCAGCACCAGTTCCTTTGAGATTATAGAGTTAACATTGGGAAAGGATCTAGTGCAGAGAGGGCCAACAGATTTTGGTATAACAGAATACCAAATGTTCCTTCACCCAGATTCAGACTCCACACTGGCAAGGAAACCTTTAACAGATTACCTCTATATCTTTAAGAAACAACTTGAGTTTTAATATCATATCAAAGAATATTCACAGTTGACAGAAAGGATTAAGGATTAAAAATCCTCTTCTCCATTCTAACGCTTAGACGTCCCTCATGTACTTGTATGTCAGCCAAAGTAACAGATGAGAATGCAGCTGCCTTCTATTAAACCAGACATTAAGGAGGTTGTAAACATGTAAAGCGATGCCAATCTTCTCTCTAGTATTTTTTGTTGTTGTAATTGTTGGTTTGGGAAAATAGTTGTTTTTTCTGAAAAATTCGTTGTTTAAATGACCATCTCTTGGATTTATAACTGTTATTTTAAGACATGTCAGTACATATTTTTGTTTTAATTTCTAATTCGGTTACCACTGATAGATATAAATCATGTAAACAAAACCTTCTATGGATCTTCAGTAATTTTTCAGCATAAAGAGATCCAAGGAGCAGACAGTGAGAAGGGATGATTTAGCCGAGTCGCGCTGCTCAGACACCATGCGTGGTGCTTCATATCTTGCCTCGTTTTAACTGCCAAACCACATCAAGGCAGTTCCACTCGATCCTGTAAGGAAAGAAACAGTTCCATGGACACTCATTATAAATAATCCAGGACAATGCAGCTTGAGACAGGAACTGTGGGTGGCTGCTCCTGAGAAGCCTGCCCCCAGTCTGCCCCACTCTCCCTGTCTAATCCTGTCCTTCACTAGGCCATTCCTGGATTTTGTACTTCTAGAATAGAATGTGAAAAAGATGGCTGAACATGTTCAGAAATGTCATATAACACAAATCATGGGTTTTTCCACATTTCAATAGTCAACAATTTCATAAGTATTTTTTTATCAGTAGAAATCATTTTGGTTTGCTAGCTATCACTTCCTTCATCAGAAGACACGTTGTTTGAACACTGCTTGGTGTGTCTTAGCCCTATGTGAGTTACTTTTGTGAATCCCTTTTTGGTCTACAATTTTGGCAATGATTTTGTGGAGGGAAAGCAAGAATGATGAGTCCTAACACTTCATCTACATAGGCATATGCAAAGTTCTCTGTTAGAGTTCAGAATGCCTAACCCTGCCTTACAGGCTATAGAATGAAGATTTGCTGGCATAATTAGTTTGATCTATTTGGTTTTTTTCAATCTTGTGAAGGGAGAACTGGTTAACAAGTCAGATTACTTCTTCATGTCAGCTCTTGGATCTGTAATTTATATCCTGGCTTCAGGGGAACTTTGTGGGATTTCTTCCTGCATTTTAAAAACCAGCCTCCTTGCTGGTTCCCTTGTGCATCCCCTACCGCTCTTCTTTGTTCAACATTCTTAAACGAATTGTCTTTGAAAAGATTCTGAGAGATTCTTGGCATTTTCTTCCCTGACCAGCCTTGCTGCTTCTCCCGCAGGTACTGTGTTTGGAAATGGCAAAACCTCTGATTATCTACTGCTGGGGAACTTTGTTTACACGGTGAGTGCCCAGTGCCAGCCCCACAGGTGAAACCAAAGCCCTGCACCTGTGCTCCTTGTGTTTCCTAAGGAAATGTGTGTTTCTGCCTTGACGGATTGTTTGTAGTCCCCTTTAAAAATGAAATAAGATGTCTTGATTTTTAAGGTTTTGAAAGCGTCCTTTGGATTCACTGACTTTTATAGGATGCAAGTTAGTATTGTTTTCAATATTTCCGCCTTTAACTTCCTGTTTTCCCTTTTTACCTTTCCTTTTCCCTTTCCCCTCCATTTTGCTTTACCATCATTATTAAGTGATGACACAGATTGCCAAACTGTTCTTAGGTGTGTATGACCAGGCCTGTGGCCAATGGGCCAGCTCTGTACTGAGCCCCGTGGTCAAGCTCCACGTGAATCCAGCTCTCCTCACCACCACTGAAGACTAAAAGAAGGTTCTGGAACTGTTTTTTCTTGAGAAGTCAAAAGCACTGTGTGACTACTGATGCCTGTCATTCGCACGTTGGGTTTCTAATGGGAGCTTAGTCCAGCCTTCCCCTGTGTAGTGCTGGCCCCATGCGCTGTCCTCCCACTCCTGTGTTGCACCCCCAGCATTGGTAAAAAAGGAAGCTGTTGTAAATATCAAGCAGCTGTCAGTAAGGCTTAGGAAAAACAGTAATATGCTGTTTCAGTATTGAGGAGGTTTTATGATTTGGGCTTTTTTCTTCTTCTTCTTCTTTTCCAATTGAGTTGAAAAGCAGAGAGCCAACAAGATAGAGACATCTGCCATCTGCTGGGTTACTCCCCAAATGCGCATGAAGGTCAGGGTTGGGCCAGGACCTAGGCAGGGAGACAGGAACTCAGTCCCAGTCTGTCTTGTAATTGGTCCCATCCAGTTGAGCTGTCACTGCTGCCGCCCATGGTCTGCACTAGCAGGATGTTGCACTCAGGAGTAGAGCCAGGCGTCAAACCCAGGCACTGCAGCGTGGGACATGCTTTCAGAGCTTGAATCCATGTTTTAACCACTTGACCCAAAAGGAACTCGGTGATAAGAAATTAAGGCCATTACCAAAGGTTAAGACTTTGGCAAGTCAGGGATTTGTTTTCCATTGACATCAAACTATCAAAGTAGTAGAAATAAAATTAAAAATGTATTTTAGGGGATGATATTTCATTCTCACACAACATGGAAGGAAAGACTAAGTGAGTAGATCCTTAGAACAGGCGGAAAAAAATCAGAGCATACATCACAGATGTCTCCTAGGCACACTGTACACCACCCAGGTCTCAGGACAGACTTTTTCTTTCACTTTATGCTAAAGTACATTCCCCATTTTAGAACTCCTTGTACTTTATGCTAATTAATATTTACATTTGCATAACTTTTATTTCTACAGTCTTATTTCTACAGATAACAGCCGTAACTTTCCATTCAATAGCTTGCTAAGAAATCTCAGCTGTCATCCTTAAAATTAAGTTTACAACTTCACAGAGCAGTGTCTCAACTTATCCCAAGTACAGAGCCTTAAAGTGCCTTGAAGTAGGACCAGGCACCCACCCTAGGCAAACATCCTATTTGTCTCCACAAACTCCTGCCAGTGCCGGAGAACCCGCCCCTCTTGACCACTACTAACATTATTTAGAATTTGGCCATTAGTTGTAAATAGATTATAATAGGCAACACTCCAGTGTTAGGCACTCTTCCAGGTGGCTTCTCTTCAGTATTGTGATCTCAAACAAATTAGCCACCCTATGACACTGATGAGCTTTATCAGTCCCAGATTGCTGAACAAAGTGCTGAGACACAAAGAGGTAAAGTAATTGGTTCCTTAAACAAGAGAGCTAGTAAATAATAGAGTCTTAAATACAGGTAGTGGAACTGCAGAGCAGGTGTGAGAAACGAAGCACACTGCAGGATAGGAAGCATAGAGAAGTTCCGCCAGCTCTGGGCACTCTCTATCAGAATTATTAACATAGCCACCGAGTATATGTGTGTAATTCAGGGGTAATGGGCTCCTCACCTACTCATCAGGGTATTAGGCAAGTAAAGTCCTGGAGTGTTTAGATGTCTTAACATCCAGCTGTTTTGCTTTTATAGCTTATCTTTGGAATTCAGAAAGTTGGGCTTATGCTTTGAAAGAGGTTTTAAAAATGAAGTTAAAGTAAGCTTGAAAAGCCAAGTGAATGCAGACGTGGACTTTGTGCTACTATTCATGAATTGTACAGAAAGGCAGGCAGAGACAGACCCAGGAACATCGTGGGTGGATTCCGGCAGAGAAGGTGAGGAGGAGCAAAGAGGGCAGAGGGAGGTCTGTGCTGTGAGGGGCAGTTACCACTGTTCCCAGGCCTGACGGGACCTCCCAGCCAACTCCCTGGCTTCTCTGGACATACAGAGCAAGCAGAGAATAATCCACCGGCCTCATGGCTCAGTTCAAAGCCACCTGTTGTTTATATAGCTCAGGCATTTAATCAACTATCATATTTATATAATAAGATAACATTTTTATCTTCTGTTGCAGTTTGTTGTGATAACTGTGTGCTTGAAAGCTGGACTGGAGACATCATACTGGACATGGGTAAGAGAGTCCTGATCACAGCCAAGAAATGTCATATTCACTTAAGTGTTCTACCCACATATTTTATTGTTTTTCAGCCTAACTTGATAACTCTGCCCTCGTCTACTTGGGGGAGAAATGGCTGCCTAGAGATTTTAATGCAAAAATACCAAGTTAAACAAAATATATCATCACAAGCCTTCTTGGAGCTTTTAATATGTTAGTGTATACTCTGAATATTCCAGGAAAGTAGGAAGACCTTCATACTTGAGTATGAATCTCTTTTCGGAGATAGACCTAAACTGGCACTCTGTTAAAAATTCATGGGAAAATGACTCAGAAGACTAACAACACTAGCAAAATATTTATCTTTAGATATGTATAAATGCTCAGTCTGGATTAAAAAGTTTCATTTTTAGATTTGATTGTTGTGCTGTATGTCCATATCCAAGTATGGAAACCCAGCAAGCAAAAGAAGAGTTTGACACTCAGGCCAGAGTGACACAGGAGGCTTGGGTTTGACCATGATCAGTGTACAGATGATAGCCACACAAGTGTCAAGAATCTTTCAGTGAGAGCATGCATAGCAAAACTGGAGGAGGCCTACAGGGAGTAAGAGACACAAAAGATAAAAGTGAGAGAACAAAGAAAGCAGGATTCGTTCTAAATTCCAGAACCACAGAGGTCATCGCCATTGTGGAAGAGATGTCCCCTTAATGAAAGATCTAGTTTGTCTTTAAAAATATGCATGCCATTTTAGAATTCTGTCAAGGTTGTATGGAAAATCCAGTAGATAATGCCTTTATGGTTCTACTAGATCATGGACGAAGGTGTGCATGTTCCACTGGTGTTAGTGTTCTCTGTACCAACAGACCGGTGACAAGTATTTCCTTCTTCACAGTTCAGCCACATAGCAATCTGGGGCAGCATCGCGCTCTGGGTGGTGTTTTTTGGGATCTACTCATCACTGTGGCCTGCCGTCCCGATGGCCCCTGACATGTCGGGGGAGGTAAGTGTACTCGTCCCTTGTGATCCAGCAAGATTAGAAATGAGTGTTCACCAATAACCCAAAATCCTCTGCAGCGAGTCTCCATTCTGCTGATTTACAGTAACACTGTTTCTCACCATTTCAAAGCTAGTTTCAAATCCTACAAGGGAGAGTGATAAATCTTTGAGAGAATATTGTAAACTTGGATGTTTTATTTAATTCAACTGATCCTTTGCTAGACCTAGCTGGGACAGTAAAATGTGGATTTAAAGGTTGAGTCAGGTAAAAATGAGCCAGAGAAGGTTCCATTGGAAAAGTCAGACTGTAAATCTAGAAATACACTTTAAATAAAAGAATTGGGGAAAAGTTGCATTTCTGTCTTCAGGACAGTCTATCTTTTCTTCTATTATCTCTTATGCTAAAGAAAAGTCTGCTGCCACTGGATTAAATGCATTCTTCAACTTCTCTCTATGATACCGGCTTGGTTTTCATCTTAGAAGAATTAGGGCATCTGACATTTCAGCCTTATCATAGCCCATTTGCAGTTCTGTCTCAGTTTCTTGTTACATGGGGAGGGATTGAGTTATTGGGTGCTCATGGGAGTGTGTCAAAAGATCTCCTTTCCTTCAGAGGAGAGTGCAGCAGTAGGCTAGTTTATGATTTCAGTTGCAGGAAATTTGACATAAAATGTATAAAGGAAAATGTGGAAAGCATTTCAGGATTTCCTGTGACCTCACAGTAACTTGCAAATCAAGGTAATATGAGCCCTGTTACAGTACATTGTTTAACCACAGTCGCAGGAACTGTTTCCAGTGGTTTCCTTGCATTTGTTGCCCCCAAGTACTGCCTGAGTACCTTTCACTTTGGACAGTCTGCTTTATAGATCATGTTCGTGAAATGTTATCTGACAGCATCCTGCTTTTTATAAATTAGCTGAATACAGACACATTTTTAAAAATGTTTGTGGTTAAATTTATTAGAAAGACATTATATACTATTAGAGTGAAACCAGACATATCAGGGAGAAAATACTTCCTTCCACCAAAAGGGAAGGTTTTTTTTGGAAACGTATCCTGTAAACTCAAAAATTCATGGCAGGTATTTTAAGGGGCAGAGTATGAGAACTGTGACTGCATCCCCTCCTTACTTTGGTTTTTGAGTTTTTCCTGAAGAAATAAAATCAAAGAATTCACAAGTACACAGACACACACACTTGTCCCTAAGTGTCATTGAGTTGTTGATCCCAGGACCCCTTGAGGCTGTCCAATACCAAGGAAAGTTGGTCTCATAAAGACATCTTTGCATTATTACCTACACACATCTTCCCACATACTTTAAATAATTCTCGATTACTTATAATAACCAATGTGATGTAAAGACTATGTAAATAGTTGCTATTTTGTGTTATTCAGGGAATAATGACAGAGGGGAATATCTCTATGTGTTCAGATGCATATTGTTTTCAAATATTTTCCATCTGCTATTGGTTGCATCTTTGGATGCCAAACCCAGGGATACAGAGAGCTGATCGTGCAGGGTGTGTATGTATGCAAGCACGTGAGAGAGTTGTTATATGAAAACATATGAAAAAGCCAGTTCCATTTTCTGCTTTATTTGATGTCCTCTGTCCAATTGGACTGACTCTCCAAGGTCAATTCTGCCTGATATCTTTTTCATTAGACCTGAGTCTTTACTTCATTTTACTTTATTTCTTAGTGTTTATTTTATCTTCAAAATGACTAACGCTAAAGATTTTGAAACCCAGATAGTTTAAACAACTATTGCCAACAGGCTTGATGACAAGAACTGAGTTTCTGACCACCTACTTCTAAGACAAGTGTGAAGTTTGCCTGGCTTTTTGCCAACCAAATATAATTCTAGCCTTGCATATGGAATTCCCTGTATTACCCAAACACAAAACCTAATACTGCCTCTTGAGATTTGTGGTGATGCTGTGTTTAATTCACAGTGAAATGAATGTCAGTACTCCATCACATTTCTGTCCGTTTCATATACAGTGGGAAGTGACAACAGAGGTCCTCTTTCTTGTTGTTTTATTACTACTGCTATTTTGAATGTAGTGTTTCCATAACTGGTGCTCCGTTGGAAATATAAAGAATGAATTTAATCAGCTATAAGTTTTACAACCTTGTTTGGAATATGTCTGTTTAATGCATTCATAGAAAATAATAGTACTTTAAATTTATGTATTTTCATGCTTGCAGCACATTTAGGGGAGGGGTATAAATGGGCCTCAGAAGAACTCCAAAATAACAGTGTAATAAGAATATCCTTTAAATTCTGAAGTACAGATTCACAATTTCTTTGGAAACATGGTAATAATTTTTAATATTTTTATGATAGCTATAGGGTGAGTAGTTATGTTACGTTACAATCCCATCAATTGCAGGAAGTGACTACTCTTTGGCTTATGGTTTTATAACCCTAGCATTCTATGCTCAGTCAAGGATATAACCAGATACATGCAGATGTGCACACGTATATAATCATGTACTTACACATATGCTTGCATATATGACAGATTCATCTGGGTTCAGTATTTAGATAGATCAGTATGCTTGAGGATCTTCAAAAACCATGAAAACTGCACACTCTGAAGAAAGTATGCATGAATTTCAAAAAATATTTGCACCAAAATATGCTTTATTTATTTTTATAGTATTTGAGAGGCAGGGACACAGAGAATGTCCATTCCCCGGTCCAGTCTCCAGATACCCGTAAGAACCAGGGCCAAACCAGGCAAGCGCTGAGAGCAAGGAATTCAGCCTTGGTCTCCCATGTAGGTGGCAGGGACCCAGCTGCTTGAGCCATCCCCTGCTGCTTCCCAGTTCTAATCAGGAGGGAGCTGGGCTTGGGAACTGGAATTTGTACATGAAATACAATTCTAAGTACTCCAGGATGGATACAGGCATCCTAAGCATTAAGCAAAATGCCCACCACAGACTTCAAGTGAAGTGATTCCATTTCCCACAAAGTTTTTGAAACGGATGGGTGTATAGTTAAATAGATATGATGTTTGTGTATATTTGTGGCCAGATAAATTAGAGTTTACTTATTCATCGTTTTTATTTCAGAGCAATATATATTGCATATCTGTCACATATTACTTATACTGCTGTATTGCTGTAGCCCCAACATATAGATAAATGTCTACAACCAATTATATTGACATGGGTTGTGTGGTCCATATAATGAACATAACCTGAGCAACCCCCAGAATTTGCTATTCCACAGTATTTCCAACGTAGAGTGCTGATAACTTTGTCAACACCACTAATAAGTCATGCATACCTAATCCAGAGTCCATACCAGTAAGTTTGATTGCCTTTTATGTAAGTATATTTTGTTGCCGAAAAGCTTAATAAAGACCAGTTAAAATGGCACATCATAGAAGTGGAATACACTGAAAATAGCAACCCTCAATCTCTTTTCCACTCCAGGAAGAATTTTAGAGGATGACTTCGTGTCACCCTTGCACTGTGTGGTTTCATGGGAAAATGATCCATGAATAGAGTTTTCAGGAAGACAGCCAGGTCTGAGAAGATTGGCCATGGCAATGGTGCCCAACACATAGTGCACACTTACTGTATCCCAGGCTCTAAGTACTTTGTATCTGTTTGAAAGCATTTATCAAGGTTCTTGTGTGTGGCAAGCAGTGTTCCAGGCATTGGAGATTCAGTGCTGAGCAAAGCAGGCAGATTGCCACATGCTATCCTTCAACTCAAGATTCTAGTGGAAAGAGATAGCCTGTAGGACTGAGATCTTTGGAAGGATGTAAGTGCAGTGGGGCAGAGTACTGCGGGCGGGGAGCCGCTGTGCCCCATAGAGCCTCAAATATCTGCTGGGCTCAGGTGAAGAGGCAGCAGAGGGGCAGGAGGAGACATGGGACACTCACTGTTGTGTGTCAAACCACTCTGATTATTGCAGAAAACTAGGAAGGTGGTTTGTATGGTGCCTTGGGCCAGGAGGGCTGCAGTGGTGAAGCGTGGTCAGGCAGTGGATGGAATCTGGTGGGAAAGTCACCAGGACATGCAAACAGTTTGCGCGAGAGGAGGAAAAGGACAAGGAGTCAAAATGTGCTATGAGAGTCAGGAAGATGTACTTGTCATAAAGTCACTTGCTCCTCACAAGCAAATGTGTTCAAATTACCATGTTACAGAGGGGTAAACTGAGGCAGGGATACACAAAATATCTTGTCAGATATAGAGATAAAATTGTGACTTGGAAGGCTGATCTTCTGTTCTAGATGCTGCCCTGAATATCAAGATTTCCCATGGCAGAAATGGATGCTGGTTACATTTAGCTGTTCCTTCCGGTGCTGCTCGGGGATGGGCTGGCACCACCAGCAATGCCTTCGAAGTGCTTTATGTACTCTGTGCTCCTGAGGGTGACCTACAGTCCCTAAGATGGGGCTTCTCTGTTCTTCTTTAGCTGTGTTCTCTTCAGAGCAACAGTTTCAGTATTGCCCTAGTTAGCAGAACCTCAGGGTACAAAATATACAAATTAGGCAGCTTGACAGGTACAAGTTCCTGTGGCTATATTCAGCCAGGTGCAGTTTCACACGTAGATCAGCATCTTATGGTCACCTTGACTCATCATGGCAGCATCCCTCTGAAGACAGAACCATGTCTCATTAATGAAGGGGAATCTCCACTCACCTACAAGGCAAGGAAAGACGAGCAGTACCTACTATGTAACCACTGTGTCCCTCAGGCACTATTTTGATGCCAGGTGTCCTTGTTTTGGTTAACCCTGTATTACAGCCCATTGTGGTAAGCAGAACAACAGCTAGGGATTCAGAGAACTCAACACACATTTCTTTGAAAATCTCCCAGTTCCTATTAATAGCCTGAGGAATGCAATGCCTGCTAATTAGGACCCAGTGCCCTTCGTCTCTCTTGGAAGAGCTCTTTCCTGTGCTGCTGCAATCATCTTCCTGGCCTTGAGTTGATCTGCTACATCCCAGATTACCTGAGGCCTTGATCAATTTGTTGTAAGTT